ATTAAAACTATTAGCCCACATCACCACAATTAACCATAAACCTAAACAAAGCCCACAAACTCAACATGACCGAAACACAAGCAACCCATGAGCCTAAATGAATCCTACCACCACCACCTAAAGAAGCGCCAGCCATCGCGACCACACCCACCACTGCATCCGTAATAGATCTAGGGAAAAGATGATTTCCAACCATCTACCTATGCATAATAGTGAACAAATAAACTAAAACAAGACCCCTACCAAAGAAGAATTGAGTGATTTACAGCAACCTCAGTCAAAGACGATGTAGAGCCAAAAGAGAACATGAGCAATGTTAGAGAGCGAGTTTTGGGAGAAGGATTTGATTGAGAACATAGCCTAAAATGGGTGATGGAGAACTTCAATATGAGGATGGCTCAAAAGAAACCACCACAAGGGACTTTTTATTCAAAACGCCCTAGTGGACTTATTCACTAACCCAAAAGGAAAAGATGAGAAGAGAGGAGGGGGAGGAGAGACAATGACGCTTCTTCCTCCTCCCCTCTTTATGGAGTTTTTCCATTGAGACTCACAAAGGGATAAACTCAAATCGACATTGCCCAGGGCCATCAACTCTCCAATAGTCATAGGAATATGAAGTGGGAGGGTCAGTGCTATGAAGAGAGAGAGAGAGAGAGAGAGAGAGGGAGAGAGAGCTATAGGGGAGATTTCTATGGGCTAGGGTAACAAAATATTATGTTATATATTTAAAAAGAAACATATAATTATCGGGCTCGGTTCGAGGATGGGGACGTTAATACCATCCCCGGCTCATACCTGTTGGGGATTTTTAAAATTCGAGGATCCCTGTATCGATCCCTGTTTGGCCTCGAAATCTCCCCCTTTTAGGATCGGGGACCCGACGGGAATTTCTGCCCTCCCTAGTCCTGAATAGATAAACAGTGGCCCTAGTTCCCTTTTAATTTCAAAACTACCAAACAAGTAAAGGAAAAGATAGGCACAACACAACACAAGGGACAGTTTCATTGGTGCAATTAGCAACTCTAAATCCATCCATAACTCTACCAAAAAAATAATAAATCCAGAATGAGCCAAATCAAAATGTAAACATAAACAATGAAATAATTGTCTCATAATGCAAGGGTTCATTGGAAAGGTGATATTTTTGTAATTTATTTAATTATTTGGGGAAAAATTGAGCAATGCCCCTTGAACTATAGGTTATGTTCCACTTTGCCCTTTAAACTTCCAATTTGGTTCTAAAACTCCTAAAACTTTCAATTTGAGTTTGTCCCCTCCTATCGTTAGTTATGTCCATTAATCCATCAAATTGAGGGTCATTTTTGTCCTTTTTAGTTCAAACTTGTTTTAACCCACCTTCACCATATATGACTCGAGCCTCTCACCTGATTTCATGACTTGCGTATCTAATTGAGAATGAAGGTTTGAGGTTGAGAAAATTGAAGTCAATGCTTGATTAAGACATCAATTGAAGTAAATGGCCCCAAAAATTAGTCATGTGCAACAAACTAGCAGAAAACTGTAACAAAGCTGAATGTTTGAGGGATATTAACAGAAACTTAAAGTTGAGGGGGTAAAACATAAATTGAAAGTTTGGACGGCAAAGTGGAACAAAATTCAGGGGCCATGGTTATTTTTTCCACCTATTTTTTAATAGTTGTGGAATAAAGTAAGAAATACATCACGACCCCAAATAAATAAGCCATTGGCTATTAGAATTGACAATAGTGACAATGGTAATCGACAACATTACTATTGTGGTTATGCAACCAAAAAAAAAAGAAACAAAAAGAAAGATAAAAAAAAGTCATTGCTCACTATAAGAGATATAATCAATTGTGTATACATATATTGTTGATAGGTCCTCACCGATAATAGAACTAAATTAGGATTTAGGGAAGTGTGTGACAGTGAAAATAGATTATTG